GATTGGTCGAATCTAGACCAATAGCGGATATTGCACAAACCGTTGAGTTTAAACGAGCAGCGGACCTACTAAAAACCATTTATTATTTAACGTCCATAAAAATTATATTTATATTAATGATGTCTCCAAAGTTCAGCGAATTTTTCGCAAAAAAAATAATTTATCAGGAAGCACGCGAGCGCCATTCGATGACAAGCTCCACGACAAAAACAAGCTTAAGCAATGGCGCGGTCGAACGGTGCACACTTGGTAAGTAATCCTACAATTTTTTGTTTATAGCATAGTTTATATAGATTATTCCCAAAAAATTATACGTATTTTGGAAACGTTGAGTCGAATTAGTCTAGAATCGATTAATTTTATGGAAGAAAACCTTTCAAACAGCCGTAGTCCGTAAACTGCATACGTGCCGGGGCTGTGATTGGCTGGACTCGTAGAAAATGGATTTATAAAAACCGGAACGTATCTACCGTGTTGTAGGGGGGTCGACTGTACTTAGTTCATTTACTGAACTTTTATAATATCTGGTTTGGTAGAAAACGAGATGATCTTAATCGCGATGCCCTCGCTTCAGCTTCCTGGACTCCTTTTATATCTACCTCAATGCTTACTACGATAAAAGTATAAAATGGCACCTTCTTTAGTCCATGGTGCACTGCGAGAGAGTTTTAGTGGCTACTTGCCACTAAAACTCTCTCGCTAGCGCTCTCTCCCTCTTGCTCTCTCATATTTTATGAATAAAATGAATCGTTCTCCAGTTCTCTCAGTCCCCATTTTTTAATTGATACTTTCATAGTAATTTCATTTAAAATAGTGACGTTTAACATAACTGAATCTAGCGTAGTTTCTCTCTTCAACTGCTATATTTACAGATTGAAAATGCAAAAACAGAAGTGCTTAATTTACTTTATGTACAGTACTTGCAATTTTAACGTTTCACACGCTACAACGTTTAATTCAATAGTGTGCACATCAATAATTATAAGATCATTTATACATACCTTTCGATCTTTCTTTTTAATAATTCATTTTCTTTAGCTATTACATTTTGGCTATCATCTGCATGACTAATTTGTAACGAAAGTCTTTCGTTTTCTTCTTGTAATTTTTTATTAAAATATTTCAGTTCCTCTATTTTTTCACAATAGTCAGAATTATCCTTACGTCTGTAATAAACTTTGTAATTTTATTCTAAGAAAAATAAACAATAAAAAATTAAAACATAAATATACATGACAAGTTATATAGCTTTCCATCTATGTTTATGTAATACTAGCAGACTCGACCACGCGTTGCTGTGGCTCAAAATGTATCTATTATAAATGTATAACACTTCCCCGCGGGAGGAATTTCGAAAAATTCCTTCTTAGTGTACATTTTCTTGACGTACCCTATTAAAACGCAATCAAAAACGCAAAACACCTCATCTAAAATAGTATAAGAGAAGCCGAGTTCCTTACTGAGCGGGATTCGGTAGCGAAAGCGAAAAACAGAGCGAATAACACGTCAGACATGACGTCGTTTCCGGCGAATTTTACGATTTCGCGAATCGCTTCGAAGTTCGGAACTGTCGAGCTTTTTCGCTAGCGAAAAAATTTCGCACCAATCGTATTCCCGCTAGTTGTCACGTGGTTCTTGTTGTTTTCAAGATGGCTACAGAAACTTTCTCACGCAATAGATTATATGTTGTAATTACGGATTTTAATATTTCTCTCACCCAACATCGTTTTCTTTTTGACTTATTTTTCTTTCTCAATAAATAAACAAATGTGGTTAACGGCGGAATATCAGAATCGGCCATTTTGTTTTTCGAGATGACGTTTTCACTTGCTTGCAAATAATTGGCTGCTTAAAATTCGCAGTCGCTTTTCGCTTTTGGTTGTAGGGTCAATTTCGCTAAGCGAATAAAAATCGCTGTTCACATTCGCTTTCGCTATTCGCTCAGTGTGAACTAAGCTTTAATCCTGTCCCTCTCCCCGCAGGGTGGAATTTCGACATCTAAATTATATAAAAACACCCGTATTCAAATGGAATGTTGTGTGAAAATTTCAAAGCAATCGGTGAAGAACTTTCGGAGATTAGCTATTAGAAACAAACGNATACAGTATATACTTTCGTTCTCGGAGACGTTTCGTATAAAGTTATCACGTTTATTTAATCTATTTTTAGAGCATAACATAAAACAACTTTAATTATTAACGTTAAAAGAAAGAATTGGCTCGTCACTCGTCGCGTCGGATAAATGTTCATCATAAACAAATTCTAAAAATTATTAAATAGTATATTAAATGAACAAATAATAATCGTAAAGATTAATTCTAAAAATCGAAAACGATATTTATTTTCTTCTGCCCGAATTTCCATTTCCCAACTAAGTATAATATGTGATTGCGGCTAAATAAGCAGTTTGGAAAAAACACGTTAGCAGCAATCCGTATGACCACTCTGATTATAGGATCTCTAGCTGAACGCAGCCAATGGCGTCCTCAATCAGGAGCAATTTCCCTAACCATTAGAAGCAAGGAATGCAGTGACCAGTCTATCTAATGGCCCTGTTTCCACTTACAATTTTTACGGTCACCTAAATACTATAGGCTCAGCTATTCGATTCAAATAACGGCGAAAAAAGTATTTATTTTTTCGCCACCAGAGTGCACCACGTTCATGCCACAGGTCGGGGAGAAAACTAGAAATCAGTTAAGTTTATCCCAAAGATATTAATGATTTTTTCCTTATATTATAGTCTTATTACATTATATTATAATGATTAGAATACAAAATTACCATTTTTATTTCTTCTTTCAATTTTAATTTGGAATCTTTAGCTTCTGAGAGAAATTTTTCTTGTTCAGCAATTATAAAAAGTAATCGTTCTTTTTCTTCCTTTAAATATTTAGCATATTCTTCCGCCTGTTGTAACTAATTTAAATAAATCAAATTTTAGAACATGTTATTTTTAACATATTTCAGCAATAAGTAAAACTATACAATTTTTAAAAGCTAGCTATCAACAATATATGTAGCCTACACAAAGTGAGAATTTATAAATATACTTTTCCATTTTGAAATAGTTTAGAATAGAATATATATAGCTTCTCTGATTTCTTTAGATTATATTTGGAACTAGCTTAATGGAGAAAAATGGAAGAATAAAGCACTGTTTTATTGGTCTCGAATGATTTTGGGTAAAATCTCTTAATAAAATAAGTAAAATTATTATGAAAATGTCAGTTACAATTTAAACATCGTCTAAACTCTATATTATAGAGTCTATAACATAGATGGTAATCCCGATTCGATAATGGTGACAGTAGAATTGCTTTATTCCCACTAAAATTATATATCTGGGAAATGTAACAAATGAAAAACCCACGATTGTCATTTTTATATTGAAACTAGTGCTTTCCTTAATTTAATCTAAATATTATGGTTAATGCTAACTTTATCTTTCGGTTAAAGTAGGAATCAATCTATTTTGAACTTTATCCGATTAATTAAAGAACGCTTTATCTAAGTCATAAGCAGTAAACGCTGATATCATCCAAAAACATGGGAAAGGGCAATGTTGCCAGGTCTGAAAATTTATCGTCAGATTTCAAGCAATTAGCGATGACAACAATTTTTCATCTCGAAAATTTTAATGTTTATGATAAATGTCTTTGAAAAAACACTAGTAAACTCTAGGTCAACATTATACTAATAAATATAACTGAGGATAAACACAAAAATATATATCTTAAAAAATTCTTTTGAACACACTCAATATCAGGTAAAAACAATCTGCAATATCAATAAAAAAAATAGTGTTAATGTCGCAAAAAATGCAAAAGCATTAAAAACTTCACCAGGAATTTTCTCTTTTTTATAAATTATATTTATTACGATAATATTTAACGCCATTCAATATCTATGTACTATAATCTACATGTCTCCAAATCAAAGTGCTTTTTATTGTTACTTTAAAGCTACGAATCTTTAGCTACATATGACGATAATTTGATGAAATAACTGGCAACGTTTTGTTCACATCAATTTAATGTAATATAGTAATAATAAATTCTAGTTGATTTAATTAAAAAACAAAATTCCTTCCTTATTCGTCTATCCTGCATCGGAAAGATTGCAGATTATCCGGATAAAATAAAACCTTACATTTTCTCCTTGCTTGTTCAAAATGGAGTGAATATCTATATAATTTTAAGTTTTGCTCTTGATTTATCCACGTGTTTTTGAATAATGCCAGCTATATCTGCTTATAACTTGGAGAAAAAGTACTTTATACGAATAAAGTTAAAGTTAAAAATTAATAATTTGTTACTTGCTTTAACTAAAACACTTGAAAAAATCAGCATTAACCAGTTAATCATGGCTTTTTCTTATTCACGGACTTTAGAGACTTTAGCCATAGCATAGACACTTAAACTAGGAATTACAACTCGTTTGATCACGATTTTTTAAATGTATTAAATGGTATTTCTGTTATTAAAGTATAATAAAAATAAATAAACTCCTCAAAAGTGAAATTGCAACACCATGAAGGAATGTAGGCACATGCACATTAAGGAACCGGTATAAGTGAGAGAGAAGCAAATATATGCAATAGACACTTGTTTATTCAGTAACGAATAAGGCTCCCAAGGACAACTATACAGGCCGCTATACGGCGAGACATACTATCAATGAGGCGAGTAATGGCAACTCTTGCCAAGCTACATTCACTGCGGCGCACAAGTTGTCTACAATATGTGATGGTGGTCACCCCTGGTGCATCTCACGTCAGAAGAGGTACCATAGGTGTTCGATGGGAGAGAGATCCGGCCAGGGAAGGATGCGAATTCCATTCAGACTGGTGAGAGTTCTCCGTGCAATGTGCGGTCGGGCATTTTTTTTTTTTTTTTGCTGGAAAACCGTGTGCGGCCTGTACCAGTGGCCGAACCACGGGTCCACAATTCGTGTGATGTACTGGTCTTCTGTCAAAATACGTGAAATGTGCACGAGGACTGTCCGCTGATCGAACATGATACCTCCCCAAATCATGATGTTCAGTGTGGGACTGGTGTGACACTCGGCTAAAACTAGCATGTAGCATTCATCGGGATACCGCCACACCCGTCCATGGACATCATTCCTCCACAGACAGAAGTGGAATACATCCGTAAACAATGCCCAATGCCATTCAGTGGTCCAGTTGCGATGACGACGACACAACTCCAGACGTGCAGTTTTGTGCCGAGCGGTAATAGCCCTCCCGTTGCTGATTGCCGTGTATGCAGCCCGACTTCATGCAACCTGTTGCGAATGGTTTGGATGGACATAGATGCACCCGTTGATGGCGACAGGCAGCTTCGGATGTCACGTGGAGAACGGGTCCCGACGGGCCGTTCAGCGAATCTGCCGGTCTATGGGATCTGTCGTGCGCCGGTGCGATCCATCCCCTTTTCAGCGTGTTTGCAGGTGTTCCCGCGTCTATCGTACCACATATCACTGCGGTACTCACGTCGTGTCCAACACGCGTGACAACCGCCAGCATCGACAAACCGAGGTCGCGCAGCTCCAGGACACTGTCTCGTTCCTCAGCCGTCAACTGATGGTATTCAGCTCCCTGTCGTCTCTAAGGCATTTTCTACACTTTTTCGGCTGCCGCGATCCGTCGCTGATAGCATTTATAGCCTGAGCCAGCTGCTGGTCTTTCTAACCCGAAACTGAGTACCACATGACCAGATGCGTACGAATACTTAAACATTTTCATAAGTCAGTTACCTTTTCCAGGCCTGTATTTTGCATGCAATTTATGTCCATTTCTTCTTGGTGTTGCAATTTTACTTCAAGGAGTGTAAAACCTTAATTCACAAAAATATACCAGATTTATTAAAATAGCTTCCAGAAAAGTTGAACAATTTGGAATTGAATCTATAGTAGAATATTATTTTGAAACTACCTTTATCTTTTCAATTTAATTATACATTTTAGTTTAGTTAAACGAAAGATTTTTAAATTATCAAAATAATTCCAAAATATGATTTCACAGTGAACCGCAATGGTTGAGATGAACAAATATCATCTCGATGAGCTACAAAAATTTAATTCAGTTAAGATTTGAACTTTGAAAAAAGACTTTAAAAGGTGTGAAAACACGATGATGATACATTTATACATACAATATAAAAACTATCAATATTTTAAGAAGCTAACATTTCAGTGACAGTTTGTGTTGAAATTCAACAAGCTGAACATTTGTCGAAAATGTCGTTTGTAAAACTTAAAACAAATAATTGTAAAATATAAAATAACATTTGAAAGATTACCTTTTTTTGAAATTTTTCCGATTCCATTTTAAAAAATATTCGTTCTTTCTCACTTTCCGAGAAATTTAACTTTAATTCGTTATTCTCTTCCTTTATTACTTGAAGTAATTCCTTCATATCATCATAATCAGACTGAAGTTCCTTGATATTTAAATCGAGTAAATGTGTGCTGTAATTATAAATAATCTTAATCATCCATAATCTTAGAAAATAATTATTAGCATTTAGCAAACTGTTATTACGATATTTATGACAGGTACGCCATAACGCATTATGCAACTCAGGCTTTGTCTAGGGTGGCAGGTTCAGAAGGGCGGCAAAAATCGAAAATTAATATATAGCCTATTATATATGTGGCATGTTTTATTTTTATACTAACTTCAATTTTATATAAACGTTATACTTATCGGATAAAAAATAAATACTTATTTATATCTATTTCTTCTCTTTGAAAGAATTGAAAAACAGGTGCACACCATCCGTAAGGATAAGTCGGGTGATGCGATGACTCAACCTTACCATCCTTTGATACACTTCAATACAAGATATTATGATACAAAGAGAAATATATTGTATACCTTTTTCTTTATGTTCATAACATTATTATATTGAAATAAATTATTTGTTTTACTTGTGTAAGATGTTTATTGAAACATTGTTTTATTTTGATTGGGGATGACAAAATATTATTCTGCTGATGACATGCACCCTTACGGGGACCCTGCTGGTAGAGTATATCCTACACGACATAGCCTATATAACGGTGTCTAGCACTATGCCGGATCATGGTCAAGTCACAGATACAGAACAAGCTATTATTTTTACGTATTCTCCGTGTTTAAGAATTTCCTGACTGTAACATTTGTTTAGTATGGCAATTTTCTGTAATGTGATGTATGTGGTGCTGTAAAGACTAATATTTCAAGAATTTTAATAGTTCCAGCAGGGTGAAAAGACAACAAAGTAATCTAATGCTAATTCCTAAAAACTTCATTAACAAAATGTTAATATGAAAGAAATATATGTAAAATAATTACAAACGTAAAAATAATTATTATTGTAACAATATACTCTATTGTAATATTGTAATGTTTTTTTTTTAAGCTGCTGGCAAGAACTTTTTCAATTTTAACTATTTCCATCCTGAGACACTTAAGAAGGCCTTTTTCAAATCCATACCTGGCTAGGTCCGCAAAGGAGACAACTGGATGAAGAATCGTGGCGAGCATCGACCAACTCCCGAAAAATTCCTGAAGTTTGTTCGATTCGTCCGAATTCGTTTCCAGGTCACCAGAGCGGTAGGCTGACACTAACCGTTTCAGCCAACCAGTCGTCGCATCGATTAAATCTACTTGGTGAATGAATGTGTCAGTTACAGAATATTTACTGATTGACTACTTGCATAAAATCAACCATGAAGCTCATATTCTCAATCTCAACTTTATATGCTCTCTATTATTTATCATCTTTTAAGAAGGCATGATTTTATAGTTTATAGCAAATTATAAAAATATATAAACTTTATAAGAAAATATAATAGTAATTCGAATAAAATAAGTCAAATGTAATTAATACTCAGGTATAATCACTGCTGAATGCGAACAAAAACGAAACAAAGAATTAATATTTGACGTCAATGGTTATACCAACGTTACAACAGACAAGTTCAATAAATAAAATTGGTAGTACCAGTTTTTCCATTGCACAGGAAATGACATAATATAGCAAAGAATTATTGACCGATTAGTGCGTGTTTTCAAGATGTCGGAAAACAACTCTTATAAGACCGATAGTATTCCGGCAAATATTATACATTATTTATATAACATTCGTACAGTTTTCAATAATTTTTTTCATCCGAAAGTAAAGAATGCACTCATGAATTGATAACATGTGGGAGAACCATATGTTGCACTGATGGAAAACTGAGTCTAACTAAACACTGCACTGTTGACATTGGAAACAACTGGTTTTTCTCCTGAACGCTGTACATCGAAACCAGTTCTTTTACTAAACGATCCTACGAGCACTGATGTACAGTACAGTCGACCCCCCTATAACACGGGTTCCTATAGTTCGGATTCCTATATCATGGCGATAAAATTGCGACAGTATTCGTAAAAACATGCTTAAAAATCTCCTATAATTCGGTAAAATGTCATCGCCGAGACTCGTGTCGCGACAGGATTGGTCGAATCTAAACCAATAGCGGATATTGTACAGTACAAACCGTTGAGTTTAAACGAGCAGCGGACCTACTAAAAACCATTTATTATTTAACGTCCATAAAAATTATATTTATATTAATGATGTCTCCAAAGTTCAGCGAATTTTTCGCAGAAAAAATAATTTATCAGGAAGCACGCGAGCGCCATTCGATGACAAGCTCCACGACAAAAACAAGCTTAAGCAATGGCGCGGTCGAACGGTGCACACTTGGTAAGTAATCCTACAATTTTTTGTTTATAGCATAGTTTATATAGATTATTCCCAAAAAATTATACGTATTTTGGAAACGTTGAGTCGAATTAGTCTAGAATCGATTAATTTTATGGAAGAAAACCTTTCAAACAGCCGTAGTCCGTAAACTGCATACGTGCCGGGGCTGTGATTGGCTGGACTCGTAGAAAATGGATTTATAAAAACCGGAACGTATCTACCGTGTTGTAGGGGGGTCGACTGTACTTAGTTCATTTACTGAACTTTTATAATATCTGGTTTGGTAGAAAACGAGATGATCTTAATCGCGATGCCCTCGCTTCAGCTTCCTGGACTCCTTTTATATCTACCTCAATGCTTACTACGATAAAAGTATAAAATGGCACCTTCTTTAGTCCATGGTGCACTGCGAGAGAGTTTTAGTGGCTACTTGCCACTAAAACTCTCTCGCTAGCGCTCTCTCCCTCTTGCTCTCTCATATTTTATGAATAAAATGAATCGTTCTCCAGTTCTCTCAGTCCCCATTTTTTAATTGATACTTTCATAGTAATTTCATTTAAAATAGTGACGTTTAACATAACTGAATCTAGCGTAGTTTCTCTCTTCAACTGCTATATTTACAGATTGAAAATGCAAAAACAGAAGTGCTTAATTTACTTTATGTACAGTACTTGCAATTTTAACGTTTCACACGCTACAACGTTTAATTCAATAGTGTGCACATCAATAATTATAAGATCATTTATACATACCTTTCGATCTTTCTTTTTAATAATTCATTTTCTTTAGCTATTACATTTTGGCTATCATCTGCATGACTAATTTGTAACGAAAGTCTTTCGTTTTCTTCTTGTAATTTTTTATTAAAATATTTCAGTTCCTCTATTTTTTCACAATAGTCAGAATTATCCTTACGTCTGTAATAAACTTTGTAATTTTATTCTAAGAAAAATAAACAATAAAAAATTAAAACATAAATATACATGACAAGTTATATAGCTTTCCATCTATGTTTATGTAATACTAGCAGACTCGACCACGCGTTGCTGTGGCTCAAAATGTATCTATTATAAATGTATAACACTTCCCCGCGGGAGGAATTTCGAAAAATTCCTTCTTAGTGTACATTTTCTTGACGTACCCTATTAAAACGCAATCAAAAACGCAAAACACCTCATCTAAAATAGTATAAGAGAAGCCGAGTTCCTTACTGAGCGCGATTCGCTAGCGAAAGCGAAAAACAGAGCGAATAACACGTCAGACATGACGTCGTTTCCGGCGAATTTTACGATTTCGCGAATCGCTTCGAAGTTCGGAACTGTCGAGCTTTTTCGCTAGCGAAAAAATTTCGCACCAATCGTATTCCCGCTAGTTGTCACGTGGTTCTTGTTGTTTTCAAGATGGCTACAGAAACTTTCTCACGCAATAGATTATATGTTGTAATTACGGATTTTAATATTTCTCTCACCCAACATCGTTTTCTTTTTGACTTATTTTTCTTTCTCAATAAATAAACAAATGTGGTTAACGGCGGAATATCAGAATCGGCCATTTTGTTTTTCGAGATGACGTTTTCACTTGCTTGCAAATAATTGGCTGCTTAAAATTCGCAGTCGCTTTTCGCTTTTGGTTGTAGGGTCAATTTCGCTAAGCGAATAAAAATCGCTGTTCACATTCGCTCAGTGTGAACTAAGCTTTAATCCTGTCCCTCTCCCCGCAGGGTGGAATTTCGACATCTAAATTATATAAAAACACCCGTATTCAAATGGAATGTTGTGTGAAAATTTCAAAGCAATCGGTGAAGAACTTTCGGAGATTAGCTATTAGAAACAAACGAACATTACATTTTTATTTATATAGATATTTATTTGAATAGTATATATACCACATAAATATATAATATATTTATTTATATCTACTTAAAATAATTTTTGACTTGCGTATTTATAACAAAAAGACCAAAATTTTGATTTAGATATATTACGAACAAAATCCAATTCCATTTGTGACAAATATGTGCTAAAACCATAAGGTTGAAAACTTATAAAGTTAAATACAATAATAAAAGTTATGGATTTTCAAAAGTGTCAAAGTACAGTACAGTACATTAAATATTTTTTCAATCAAGAATGGCTTGCAAACAATTGAATTGTATAATATCAATGAAATGTAATTTATACAAATATTTTGAAAAGGAAATTCTAATTAATTCCTTAATACAGACGGTTTTTATGTTTTACCTTCATATAACGTTTTCTATTAACTATTTCGAGTAAACGCGACTTCCACGGCCAAAATATTCCTATTCCTTTCAGTGGTGAAATATTGTTTTATACATCTAAATTCATTATGCAATTTCATCTGTACATAGTTTCCTTTCACAAGAAAATAACAGGGGCCATATTCTGGTCACCGTCTCTGGTCTCTCGTCTCTCGCAAGCCGGTAGCTGATTGGCTAATCCAAATGATTAGCCAATCAGCGACCGGCTTGTGAGAGATGAGAGACCAGAGACGGTGACCAGAATACAGCTCCAGATATCGCGATATTCTTTTAGAAAGGTATTAAAAATTTATAGAGTATATCCTTGATTCTATAAGCATAACCATCTCATCATATTCTCAGATTAAATATAAAATTGATTCCATAAAACATATTTTCACACGTGGAAGATTAGTAGTAAGTTATTGGTAAATGAGTATGAAGCAATTATAATGTAGAAAAAATATATTTATTTGTAATAATACAAAAACAACAAAATGCGTAAATAAGTAAAGAATGTTTTTTTTTTTTTTTTTAACAAACAAACAAATTTTTTCAGGAACTATTCCAATGTACAATTATTGACGATTCTAACGGCTCTTAATGGATATTCTAAAAAAGAAAGAAAGAATACACTCACTCAAATGCACGCACGCACGCACTCACGTACACACAAATTTTTGTAAAGCTCGTAAAGTTGGCTCCTACGTGTCTGTGGCAATTAAAAACTTGTATCATTCGATTGTTCCGTAAAAATTTTCGTTTCAAATGCAATAGTTTTCTTGAAAAATCCAAAAGCATTTGGGGTGCTAAACTTCATGCTAACCCGCGACAACTACATAGCCTACCGTTTCGAAAATGATGTCAATAGATTGTTCCGTAAAATTTTTCTTTGTCTTATAATATTTTGGGAATCGATCTACATTTATTAGTTAGCAAATTTGGATCCCAGACAGCTGTCAAGAGCTTGTATGGAGCCCGGGTACTATAGCCATTCATTTTTGAACAAATGAAATATATGGAATGTTTCTTTATTAATAAAAAGCAGTCTTAAACATTTTATTTTCTGTTAGTATAATATTGATTTCATAGGGGGTTTGAAATCACAACGGCCCCGAGGAAAATCTCCAATTCACTCTCAACGACTCCGATTATAGGTGTTTATAGCAAGTAAAAAGAGATGGCAATCGATAATTATTCGTTTGTACTGGGTATTATTTTTCATTTTCATTTATGCTGCTTTATATCTTTATTAAAATTAAGATTAGCATTAGTCACGAGTTCGCATAACTTTTACACCAAATACTGGGTCATGTTCAGTAACGCAGAACACCTAAGTTAGAATTCTGAGTGGCTTAGTGGGCGGAGCTAAGAAGACATAAAAGAAGCTAGTGGTGGGAGGAGTCAAGCAGTAGTTAGAAACGAGTTCAGCATTGCAGCATAACTAGACTTAACAGGAATTCTGCGTTACTGAACACGGCCCTGTATACGATATAGTGGAACCTAATTAACTAGAATCGGTCAGAGAAAAAAAAAATTCGGACTTCGTGTTAAAAGTTTCGAGTTACAGAAGTTAAGCTAAAAATCAAAATTTTGTGCATCGGTTTTTCGGTGACTCATAATAAACTTCCATACGATTTTTCCGTGGACCTCATTATATAGAATCGACGTGTCAATCTAAACCTCTCGGTGTTGTGCAAAAACTCGAAAATGTTAAACCAAATGGTTAATTAAATAAGCTACTGAGAAATGTTTTCCCGAATGGATGATCCGTTCACTCCTAAGTGCTTAGTAAATATTTCTTTTAATTGCGATATTTTGCGCCTAGAATCGACCTATTTCCTTAAATTTTTATAACAAACATAGCATTCTTTACTATTGTTATATTTTTAAAATTTTGTCGCATAGGTTAAAATTTCTACACAGAATCAGATTACTGTTTTTTAAAATTAATTTATCAAAAATGCATTATTTATTACGTCACCTAGTCGTAACATCCATCTAAAATCAAATAAAACAAAAAGAAGTTCGAAAAAAGCAGGTTCGAATGGCAGTTGCAATATCAAAGTCACACACGCTGTCTGGAAGCACCCCGCCAAAACCTGCACGATGTTCATTTTTAATTGTACGTGGTTCCCGCGTTTTATAGAAAATTTCTGATTAGTTTATTCGCTAGATAGACGTTAATTATTTTATTTAAGCTAAAATTTCGGAAAGTTTATGAAAATACTGAATCAAAACCGAATGCGAGTTAAGCAGTTTGATTTTACATGTTAGACGATCGGGAAAAGAAAATGACTTCGAGTAAACGCGACTTCCACTTATCCCCGTTCAAGTTAACCACTGTATACCCAACAAAAGAAAAGTTTGGCAGTAGTCTAACCATCTAGTATAAAATGAATTTTTTTTTCAAAAAGTTTAGCGCTGTTCTCCGTAAATTAGTTCGTTCTCTGACAATATGACTTCATTATATGAGAACGGCCAAACTCAAAGTCATCAGAACATCAATAATGAAATGCATATCTTATAGATTAGAAACCAGTGTAAAACGCGTTTTCAAACAATCACATGACTTTTAGTCTCGAATTCAGCAAGATGAATAGACTAAACACATCCGATGCCGAGCTATGTTTCTTATCGGTCGATCCAACTCTAATAGTTTACCGGGAAAGAGATCGAAGCGAGCTGAGTCCTCTATTGAAGTCATATTTTTATCTAATGCCTAAAATCCTTAATGCCAATATAAAAATAAATCACTTACTGACGATTAAATTCTCCTCCGATTCCTTCGAAATCAGCGGAAATAACCTCCGACATGACGAAGATTCTGTAAAATAATAAAAATTCGAAATAATTAAGAAACATACCAAACTTAATTATTATATATAATCTCATTATATATATTAAAAGGACTTCTTTATCAAGCCCATCGTGGTTCGACCAAGCCCACAATGGGACAGCCGGGTGATGGATATGGTACCCACATAATAGGGACGGATCATCCCCGAAAAATTACTAGGATTTTTCGATCCGTCCGGATTTTCCAGAGCGGTAGGCTAACACCTTAACCGCTCGGTCATCTGGTTGTCGCCATTTTTATATTTGAACCATTGGCTACTCAGGAAAAGCAATTTTCTGCAATAAATTGTTTCGACCAGATTCGGGTTGGCGTCTACTTTTCGATTCTCTGCGTGATCTTGCCTTCTGCGCGGACTTCGCTCTCTCCCAGAGTGATTTCTTTCAATGCATGTGTAGAGCGAGAGATATAAAAAAATATATAATGCAGTTCCTTTGGATGACAGAGCCGGTAAAGGCAGTCTGCCTTTTTGGGAAAACCGAAATCAATTTTATGCGGGCGAAAAATACCAAATAGGGAACTCTCCCAGATATGTCAGATATGTCGGACCCCGTCCCTTACTACCCAGCCCCATTTTGAGCATTGCTGAACCCATGATGGGCCTGATAAAGTCACCTTAATGCCCACAGAGAGGAAAAAGTAAACAATAAGTCAATTATAAGTGAGTCGAGATTAACTAAGGCAATGAGTAGTGCGACCAAAATGCATAAAATGTATACTTTGCGTAATGGTTGAATTTAGGACTGCCAAAGAATTGCTAACCTTTAGAGTAACAAATTCAGAACATGGTGTAAAAAAAACAACGAATAAAAGAAAACCTGCAAGGTTGAGAACATTTTTTTTCCCTTCCTTGATGATATAACTAAGGCAAACGTCACCCTACCGCTCAGGAACCTGGAATCAAATCCAAGCGATCAACTCCAGGAATTTTTCACGAGCAGTTCGTTTCTGATATATCGGCATCCGGTCCCTCGCCACCTTGGAGTCTTCATTTTGGCTTGGCCGAACTCAAAATGGACTTTAAAAAAGATTCTCTTGGTGCCCACAGAACAGAAAGAAATAAAAATAAAAACTAAAAACAAACCAGAAAATTTCCCAACGGCTTCCATTTCCTGAATACTTTTTTAAAAAGTAAATGAAATTCAAAACAGTACGGAACAGTTGGAGTTACACTTGGTCATTATCCAGAACACGATTAAATATTCTTATTGAGGAAATAATTAATACTAGCTAATAAAAAAGTATGTTTTGTATAAATTTTCGTAAATCGTATATTTTTGCATAAAATTTATAAGAAGCATGTTAGAATCAAGGAGTGATCCTATAGAATTCGGTCCATGGTTACTAGATAATATGGTTTTAGAGCTGCTATTGTTATCACCCTTCGTTTTCGTTCTAGGAACAACTGCTTCCGATAGGGCGGCATTCGATTGTTCGGCAGGAGAAATTGGCGAGAGTTGCGTTAGAACGTGTTTATTTTTATATTTGCTTTTAGTTGTTTTAGTTTTATTTTATTTATTTATTTTATTTATTTTTGAGGTTTTTGTAATGTACGATTGTTGATTCGACTTTAAATCGTCTGTTTTAAAAGAGAAGAAACGGAAATTGCCGGATTTTACGAAGGGGTACAGTACGTGAATTTAGAATTGGTGGATTTCTAGCAAGTGGGATGTGAAAATGCCAGTTGCTATAACAGCAAAAGTTGTACATTTTTACATCACTTACAGACTTCACTTTTTTGCAAAATGGAGAAACGAGATATTTGCTTCAAAATATAATTACACTAAATTGTTATTGAAGTATATAGTCTAGTATATTTATTTATTTATTACTATTCTGAGACGAAAGCCCATTATTTCGCAAATGGGCGAGAGGCGACATCGATCCTTGATACAAAAATATAATGTGGTCTGTTTAAGACCGTCGCCATTTTCGACTCGAGAAGGATGATGCCCGGGCTGTCCAGAACTTATATGAGGATAGATCAGTAGCGTAGCGACGGGGTGCAAGGGGGTGTATCGTGCACCGGGCGCCACTCGCAGAGGGGCGCCCAAATGATCTCCAAGACAAAGTATATGTGTTTCTGGGGGTGCCAATAAAGTGTCGTGCCCCGGGCGCCAGTTACGTTCGCTACGCCACTGGGATAGACTGGGCCTTTTCACCTCTTAGAAAGCCTCTTTACCGCTTTTTAGAATAAATAAAACACAAAGAATGTTTATTAATAAAAAGCAGTCTTAAGGATTTGATTTTCTGTCAATAAAAATAATATTAATTTTATAGGAAGTAGGAACCACTAAGAGCGCCTAAGTTTTCTTCCAGCTGGGGAAAATTCCCAGTTCCTTCCTTCTCAAAAACCCTGATGACGTCCTCGACGGAAATATCTGAGTGATAGGCAACATGGAGATAATAGTATAAAATGTAAGTAGCAATCATTCGTGTCGATGGGAGTCGTAGCTCCCATCGGCACTTTCTCAAATCATTCTTCTGGTTTAAAATCAAGTGCCATACTCTCCATATATCATCCATGCACCAACCTATAGTATTTTCTTGATAAGAGTCGAGTAGCGCAACTAGGGTAGGGACAAGGGGTGAGTACCCCTAAAGAAAATTAAAAAAAATTTTTTTAATATTTGAAGACAAGTTCGCCCATATAGGGATCACCATTTTTTGCTTTTGCGTTCTAGACAGTACATTTCCGGCGACCGACCTTCCTTTCTAGGCTATTAGCCGCCAAAAAATTTTAAAAAGTCTTTTTAAAAACACAAAAATATATCCGATTAAAAACACAAAGATTTTCTAAAATCAGAACTGGTGTTATACGAACGTCTTTCTTTTTACCATCTGTACTTTCTCGGCGGTGTTTCGGCCTTTTATCCACAGAGAAGAGAGCGCTGGAAAATGTAGATTAAAAAGGTTCCCCTGGTGACGATATTTTACAGTCATAATTCGTAATTTTTTCGTCCGATGGTTCTTTTTATTTTTTAATATTTGAAGACAAGTTCGCCAATATAGGGATCCCCATTTTTTGCTTTGGCGTTCTAGAAAGACGTTCGTATAACACCAGTTCTGATTTTAGAAAATCTTTGTTTTTTTAATCGGATATCTTTTTGTGTTTTTAAAAGGACTTTTTTAAACTTTTTGGCGGCTAGTAGCATAGAAAGGAAGGTCGGTCGCCGGAAATGTACTGTCTAGAACGCAAAAGCAAAAAATAGTGATCCCTATATGGGCGAACTTGTCTTCAAATACAGTTGTCCCTTGATAATCCGACAGGTATTGGACCAAAGGGGTGTCGGATTACAAAAAAGTGTCCGGATTACCGAAAGTGATTACATATTTTGCATTGTTTCGCTAGCAGTAGCCTACAATATTCCTACGTTTTATGAGTAAAATGCTGCCTAGGTTAATATGGAAATGAAACACCCATTTCGGTTAAATAAAATATGTTTATTAAAAGAAATATGGAAGCCAATAAATGTACAGTACAGCGACATGCTTCTGTGCAAGCACACACGTAACGGGGACAGGACTACGGTGACCTTGACGGGAGGTGCGTCGGACTACTGAGCATGTCGGATTACAAAACGTCGGACTATCAAGGGACAACTGTATCTATATCTATACTAGCTGCAAGGACCCGCTTCGCTGGGTTTTTATTTGTTCGTACATTTGTATGTAATATAGTTTTTTATATATATAAAAGACTGTTTTTCTAAGTAATGTAGAATCTAGCTGCAAGGACCCGTTCGCTGGGTTTTTAAAAAGTAACGATAGTGAAGATTAAGATAATTACATTATAGCCAATCTTACCCGTTTTCACAGAATGCAAGAATTAGGTCCCCCGTTGCCAGACTAGAGACCTGGTCCCGATTCTATTTCTGGACGTCTCCTGTTCACGTCAAGTCAAACGAACTCTTTTCAACGTTTCTGGAACGTTTACAATCGTTCTATAATCGAACCAATATTCGAATTTTATGTTCGAATTTAATTCGAACAAAACATTCGAAATAGAAAGTCACTTTCAACCACTTTCAGCCTCATATCTCCCACCCTTATAGCTATCGAGACGCAACCCCCCTGGTGCACGAATGGAGACTTGGGGCTACTACCACATACAAACACCATTCACGTGCGATGTGTAGTTTTGGCGGAAAAGTGAAATATAGGGACATACATGTCCATATATATATAGATATAGATATGTACAGTACCTAATTTATGTATAATACTGTACAGACGATAGTAAACTCAATTTACCCGCCTAAACTCTCCGGCGCTGGACGGCAAAAAGTAGTTCGGCTGCCCGATGACGTTTTACCGAATTATAGGAGTTTTTTTACCATGTTTGTACGGATACCGTCGCAATTTTTTCGCCGTCATATAGGAATCCGAACTATAAGAACCCGTGTTATAGGGGGTCGACTGTATAATTATATATCTTCTATCTGTTTACTTTGTTCACATTTATGGAAAGATAAATGTTCAATCTTTATTTAAACATTGTAGTTCTTTAACTAAAGCACTACTTACGGTTGTAACTGGAATTAAAGGATATATTACGGCGTCCATGTTTCGCTCGAGCGGAAAGCGTTTCTAAACTATGATACAGCGACGTGTAGCGATAGCTTCTAGTGATGTCATTTTCACTATACACTCGCTACATTAAGAAACGCCACCTTTGTTTGTTTGCTACAGGATCCCAGGCCTTTCGACCGATTGCCACGAAACTCGGCAGTTACGTTTACATACATCTGACATAGATAATGTCTATCCTGCCCCAAAATATTGAATATTGATTGGATAATTGGATACAAATCAATTAATTTCTATTTACATTGGATTTACTGGCTTTATACGTAGCGCCATCTATTGGTAAAAACTTTAATAAATTAATAAACTAAATATAATTCTTATAAAAAAGGATATAATTTAAAAAATATATATTATATTCACTTAATTACTACGATAATCAT